TAGACCCAAGAGAAGTACAAACATGTGTCCACACAAAAACGTGTACAAGAATATTTGTAGCAGCAAGGTAGCCAGAAAGTAGAAACAATCCCAATGCCCATCAACTGATCATTGGATAAACAAAATACAGTGTTATGTATCCATGCAATGGAATGTTATTCAGCTGTGAAAAGGACTGATACACTGATACATGCTATATCGTGGATGAACCCTGAAAACATCATGCTAGATCAAATGCAAAAACCATACATGGTATGATTCCATTTATATGAAATGTCCAGAATAGGTAATTCCATAGAAATAGAAAGCAGATTCATGGTTTCCTTGGGCTGCAGTGGGGTGTGGGGTGGGGAACAAATGGGAGTTACTACCAATGGATATGGAGTGTTTTGAAGGGTAATGAAAATGTTCTGAAATTGATTGTGTCAATGGTCACACAACTTTGTAAAATACAATAAAAGCCACTGAATTTCATCCTTTAAATGAGTGAATTGTATGGTATATAAATCATATCTCAATAGAGCTGTTAATTTTTTTAAAAAAGCAGTAGTTCTTAACTTTATTGGATTAAGATTTCTGGGAGAATTTTCTGGAAGCTATGGACTTTCTGCTGTCCACACCCCCCCCCCCACGCCTATCCCCACTTGCATTCACCTCAGGCATGAAAAGTCCATATGTGTTTGTATATAAAAGTTTCATTTAAAAAAGTCAGGAGATTCTCAGACTGACTGAATCTCATCTATTGAGTCCCTAGAAGTTGGTGAGCCCCAGGGGAGCCTTGTCTTGATGAAACTGTCACCAGTAAACGTGAGGTCAGGGGCACATCTGAAAGGTTTTCCCATCCATTCCTCCTCTCTGCCTTTAACCACCTTGTCATAGACCCTCTTTGCCACCATGCCCTCTTCCTTCTCAAGCTGTTTTCACATCAGTGTGGTAGCCCGAGTTCTAAGAAGGCCCCCCACGACTTCACCCCCTGGTGTCAGGGCAAAAGGAAGATTATCTGGGTGGGTCTAATCTAATCACATGAACTCTTTAAAAGCAGAGTTTCTCTGACTGGTATTGGAGGACAGTCAGATTCAACCCCTGACCCGGACCCCATGCGCTGCTGCTGGCTTTGCAGATGGAAGGGGCCATGCAATTGAGGGACACAGTCGGCCTTAGGAACAGAGAGTGGCCCCCGGCTGACAGCAGGGAACTGGATGATGCCAGCAACCTGAAAGAGCTTGGAGGGGGTTCTTCCCCTCAGCCTCCAGGTGTGAGCCCAGCCAGCCGCCCACGTGATTTCGGCCTTGTGAGACCCTGAGCTGGAATCCGGTCCAGCCCACGTGGACTTCTGACCTACCACTGTGGGATAACAAGTGGGTGTGGGTTTAGGACTCCGAGTTTGCGGTAATTGGTCACGCAGACTAGAAAACTAACACGATCAGTCTCGCATCGCTGTGCAGCTGGCTGTCATTCTGCGGGATGTTTCTAGATCCAGCTCTTTCCTTCATAAAATCCTTGGTCATTTGCCCCCCATCTCCAAGGGTGATATCACATTCTGGTTGCCTCCAAGCCTGGCTCTTGCCATTCCCGACTCTGTGGTCGACACTAGGAGCCTCTCCCTGGAGTTTCAAAAGTCAAAGCTAAGGGGAATCTCAGCCCACTGCAGGTGGGTGGGGAAGCCTTTGCTCAGCTGAGTCACAGCTCTCAGAGGGCTCTTATCTCCCAGGAAAAGAGAATTAGCCTGAGGCAGGGTCTCAGCACCCTGCGATGCACACAGGGACGTCCAGTAAATATTGCTGGATTAAAAGTCCCGGAGCAGAGAAGCTCACGCAGATGCCCAAGGGATCAACCCTGAAATGGCTTGAAAGGAGAAGTGGAAGGTTCCAGCACCCCTCCTATTGACAGGAAGCCTTGTCTGTAAGGCGCGGGACTCCAGCCTGGAGCTCGGGCAAAGGGCTTTGAGGGTAAAATCACATAGGGCGTATGATCCCAAAGGACTGATAGTTAATCCTACAGGAGCAGGGGCTCTTCAGCTACCCCAGAGAGACCGAGGTCACCCTGAAGAGCTTTGAGACTCCTGGTTCCAGTCCCATCCTCATCAGCAGCTTTTGGGGTCCAATTGCCGTTTGGGGGCTGTGTGTGTAGCATGGCATGTGGCGGACATGCGGCTGTGTGCTCACCTGGCTGCTTGTAGGCTCGGCTCTTATGGCTCTTCTGCACCTGAGGCCCTCCTACGCCCTGCCCCTTATGCCGTTCCATTAGGTGGAGTGAAAAGGTCTTGATGGGGAGCAGGTGCTCTAGCACTGACAGCAAAGCCCCAAAGGGCTTCCCACCCCTCCCTCCCTTTATCCATGCAACACCACAGCCCTATTTCCTGCCTCTGCTGATGAGAACCATCCACTTCTGGAACCAATCAGTTATTCCTCTCGTGAGCTAGTGTCTTTGCTTGCTGGGAAAGCTCCAATCAGGCCCTTAACTTCATCTTCTTGTTCTTGGAACATGATCTCGTGCATCTGGAGTCCAAAGCTCTTCTGACTGGGCAATCTTGGCTTCTTTATGTAGATACAGGGCCCAGGGTGGCTGTGCTGAGGGCCTGAGGGGGCTTAGGGTGGGCTGGGGTCGGGGAGGGCCTGCCTGCGACCACCGCTCCCTGCCCCCAATGGGAAGCCCTCACTCAGGCTCAGATGATCCCTGTACCTTCTGGGTTTGCTCTCCCCCTTTCTGTGGGCTTGGAAACGAGTTTGTGGATTTGTGGCTTTCCTTATACTCAAGAAATCTGCCTAGATCCACAGAATTTCTTCTGCCCCAGGGATGGGCTCTTTTGTAAACCTGAAGAATGCAACAATATCGGGGTGAGTTACGCATGTGTGTAAACACGCGCGTGTTCAGATGAGCTTATGTGTGATCACAGGAATTCTAAGTGTGACCCCTCACGAGTCCCTATTTCAGTCATTCAGGAAAGCTGACGCTACGAGGTGGTGAGCCAGAGGACGGAGGCAGAGAGAGGGCCTCTCTGGCTTCTGGCACACGGCCTTGGGGTGGGGCTGAGGGGCCTCACCCAAGCAGGAAGTGCGTTCAGTGGGAACAGGCTGGCCTTCTCAACGCCACCTCACAGAGACAGCAGAAGACTGGGGGCTGGGGGTAGATGTGTGTATCGGGGAGCTGGGGGAACGGTCTGTTCTGCATCTTCTAGGACCCAGCCCAGGAGACTCAACGCAGGGGAAGCTATTTCTGCCTTCCCCAGAACTCCTTTTCCTGGGTGTTTCCTGTGAGAGTGGGTCCAGAGAGCTTCCCACGGGGGATCTGAGGGCGGAAGGGAAGCGGCAGCCAATCTGTAGCTTGCACACATTGTCGCTGCTCTGCTGACATGGCCCATTGGTGTGGGGACTGCACCTGCTCCACCCACCCTGGGTCCCCCTTCAGCTGCTCCGACCCCTGGGCCAGGCGTGTGTGCTCAGCTCCGTCCCCAGCGAAGGATCCTGCCTTCCGTGGGACACCCACACCACCAAGTTCAGAAGCCATAAGAACTGGCCTGGGTTTCTGTCTGGCCTCAGGGCCTCCAGCTTGTGCTTATGGGTTCTGACTTATTCTTGATCTCCTTCTACTTTGCCTCCATATTTCTTTCCCAGCAACCTCGCCTGGGAACTTCAAGCCCTAGTATCGGGCAAGAAAACAGCAGCCCTGCAGAGACTGCTTAACCAGCGCCCACAGCTGCCTAACGTCAAATCCCTGTAACAAAGCCCTTCGCATGCAGCAGAAGAAACAGTATATATCTCTCAATGTCAATCTGCTTCTCTGACAGAAGGCTGACATAGGTCGTAATACATATGACCTCATCACGAGTTAGGAGATGAATGGGCCCAGGCTCCTGTGAGCGTCTGGTCACCGTAAAGCAGTGGGTCTTCATCCTGAGCGTGCATCAGAACACGTGGAGGGCTGGTTGAAGCCCAGACTGCGGGGTCCCACCTCTGTAGCTTCTGATTCTCAGGTCTGGGGTAAGGCCTGAAAGCGTGTATGTGCAGCAAGTTCCCAGGTGCTGCTGGTCCAGGGCCCTCACCTTGAGAAGCACTGCTGCAAGGTGTTGTGTACGAAGGTAAGGGGTGACAGGGGCCCCACAGGCCAGCAGGGCAGCTGCAGCGGTGCTGTCCCTGCAGGCACTGGGAATCTCGACAGGATCACAGGGCCAGGGGGAAACACGGAGCCTCTCTTGGGCCTACTCCGGGCCTGAGAGGCAGCCTGGCCAAGAGGACACGCAGGCTGAGCATGGGCGGACCCAAGGGTGAATCCTGGCCCTGTCATCCTGTGGCCAGTGTCCCTGGGTAAGTGTCCTGCTCTGTGAGACAGAGACAGTGGTGCCTCACGGGGCTTTCACAAGGCTGATGTAGATGACGTGCATGTTCCCAAGTGCCACTGCCCCCAAGTCTCTGACGTGGCTTTTGCTGCTGACTTAGAAATGTACAATTAAGTGTTTGAACCTAAGTTCGAGACTTTACATTTACTTCTACTCGGTTTCATTTGATTGGTTTTAATCCATCATTCCAGCGTGCTGAGATGCTCCTGAGCCTTGAGGCTGTCACTTGGCACATTAGTGGTCCCTCGCTAGTCACCGGGCAGCCTGCTGGCCGTTCCTTCATGAGCAAAGCTGACGCGGTGTCACATGTTTTAAGGTACACAGGATGGGGAAGCAGGTCAGAGAAGAGTTCTGGACTCAGTACCTTTAGAATTCTGACTTGGGAAGCTGCCTTCATAGTTTCTAGTGGGTCTTTGTACCCACATTAGAAATACAGATTTAAAAATATATACATATTTCTTGAGGTGATAGCAGAGAGAAGGGTCCTCTGTTGCCCACCTGAACACTTGCTATGTGTAGGCCCCAAGCCCAGGGGACACCAGACCTCAGATGTGATTTCTAGTTCCTGGGCGGCCTGAGTGACCAGCTTGGAGAGGCAGAGCTTGTGGGGGTGCTCCCCTCATTGACTCTTTTCCACATGAATAAACCACCAAAAAGAGAGAACTTAAGAATAAACTTCTTATAAAATTTAATGATTTCAGGGATGGACTGAGGCCCAAGGAGAAAATGACCATGTGTTCCTTCACCAGCAGATAAGGCATCAGGGGCCACCGTGGCTGGACTGGGCTGACCAGACTGCAAGCCCCCCAGGAACTGATTCTCTCACAGTCTCTGTCTCAGAACATTCTGGAACCATGGTGTCTTCCTAAACCCGGACTTGCTGCTGTTCCTTCTTCTTCACCTCGGTCCAGATGTCTGACAGGTCTTGGATAAACTGCTGGATCTGAAAGGGCAGGGGGACCACAGTTAACCCCGCCCAGCCAGAGGTCTACCCCATCCCAAGATGGAGCACCATGGGTATTAATGCATAAGGAGTCTTTGCTTTCCTGTGACCGGCTTTTTGAGGAGGCCACTTTCCCTCACTTCACAATTTTCTGAGGTGAAATTGAGTATCAGGGTATCAGATTAAAAGCAATAAACGGGAATGGAGTTGGGAACTCCTAGAGGCAGACACAGTGACAGTATGAAGTGTGGGCTGACAGTCTAACAGAAGGGAGAGGTGGGATCACCCCACGCTGTGGGAGTGAGCACTTGGCAGGCAGGGCCCAGTCAGCGTGGGGGCAGACGGCCCTCCGCAGTGTCCCGGCCCTCAGGGTGTCATGCACTCGGAACCCTGAGCTGATGCTCCTCGTGATATTCTTGAGTCGTGAAGAGAAGTTTAAATTCTATTCACTGGCTTTTGTTTCAAAGAGCACGAAATCAGTGTGACACAGAGGATACTGTGACACTAGGTAGGACTTAGCTGTGCTCCGGATGCAGCTCTGGGGAAATCACTTCATCTTTCGGGGACTCAGTTTCTTCCTCTTTTAAAAAGGGAAGAGGCAGAAAAGGTTTGCCTGAATGGCCTCTAAGATCTCAGTTCTAAAACCTCTCCTTTTCAAGGCCATCTCTGGAGGTGGGAAGACGCAGACTTTGTTCAACGTGCTCCACAACCCTGTCAGCTGCTGATACTGTTACTATTACTGCGTGTGATTCCTAGTTTTGCAAGTGAGCAAACGAAGAGTCTATGAATTAAAGCAACTTCCCCAAGATTGCAGAGAAGACAAGTTCAGCATTTCCCAAACTATGTTGCTGGACATGGTCATGTACCCCAGAAAGACTTCTGTGGTCTAGTAAGTCTTAGAAACACTATCTGCTTGGAGAGCCTCAGGGCACAGGACCCTAGCAAAGATTCTATCAAGTCCTGTTATGTTTTTAGGTCTTAATTTAAGTGAGAGTTTTCTAAATGTATTGGTCCATGGAGTCCTTTTATTCCTTCATAGGAAACAACATCTCAAGATTCTAGCATTTGCCAAGCACAGTTTGGAAAAGGCTGTTCCAGAGAGTTTGGCCTTTATTCAGGGGTGATGCCAAACCTTTCATGACACAGTATATTGAATTCAAATTTTCTTGGCCTTTTGCAGAGTCACATTTTCTAAGTTACCATGTCCCTAGTTCCGTAGAAGCAGCTTCCTTATGACGCCTGTGCTTATATCTGGTTGTTGAGAACATGATTCACTGAGTGTCTCTGAAGCCTCATTGAGAAATTTCACTTAGAACAAAGTGCCTGGAAAAAGCATGCTCCTTCTGTGAAAACCTTATATTTTCTTATTTTACTGCTAGAACTACATGTGCCTTTTCATTCTGGTTACCCGGAAGCTCAGAGCCAATTATTGCTCCTACTGAAGGCTCTTATCATCTAAGAATCACAGTCTGTATTTCTCTCTCCAGTGTTAATCTCTGATTTTTTTTTGGAGACAGAGTCTCGCTTTGTTGCCAGGGCTAGAGTGAGTGCCATGGCATCAGCCTCGCTCACAGCAACCTCAAACTCCTGGGCTCAAGCAATCCTGCTGCCTCAGCCTCTTCTGAGTGCTGGGACTGCAGCAATGTGCCCGGGCTCGGCTAATTTTTGTATGATATATTAGTTGGCCATTCATTTCTTTCTATTTATATTACGACGGGGTCTCGCTCAGGCTGGTTTCGAACTCCTGACCTTGAGCGATCCGCCCGCCTCGGCCTCCCAAAGTGCTAGGATTACAGGCGTGAGCCACAGCGCCCGGCCCATTTGATATTTATATGCCAGACATAATTTTACTTTTTTTTAAAAAATAAATTATCCTTTAACAATATGGTCTTTCTGTATCCATTCTAACCTCCCTTTTTTTTTGGCCCCCCATTTGGTCCCTTCTCCATGCAGGAGCTAGAGTCATCTTTTCCAAGAGCAAATCTGAGCGTGCCCCCCTCCCCACCTCCCAACTGATACGCTGTGCACACGACTGACAGTGGTGCAGCCCTGGCTTCTGCGAAGGTGATAACTGGCTGCCATCGTCCTGAACTGGGGACCTCGCCTTGCATCAAACAGCTAGCCAGGCCCCAAGGCAGGTGCTGGCTACTAGAGGGCAGAAGCCACCTCCAGCCAACTTGCGCCCACCTGATTGCTAAGCCCCGATTTCGCTAGCAGTACCGAGACTTGCCTTTCTAATGTAGCACAGAGAAAGTTTGTGAATTTTATTTTGTCTTGTGTTTTTTTGTTTGTTTTTCAGATTTGAAGATCTATTCTCTTTTCTTTCCTCCAAACCTCATTCCCCAGATCCCACATTCTGTGCCAAATTGGGTTTCCAAGCCTGGCGATCCAAAACAAAAAACAAATAAACAAACTCCTACCCAGAGCTCAATCTTTGGTTTCTTATTCTTTTTCTTTTCTTTAATAAAATCCCCCAGTGCTCTGTAGTCCCCTTAGAATAAAACCTGAGATCCGGCCGGGCGAGGTGGCTCACGCCTATAATCCTAGCACTCTGGGAGGCCGAGGCGGGCGGATCGTTTGAGCTCAGGAGTTCGAGACCAACCTGAGAAAGAGCGAGACCCGGTCTCTACTATAAATAGAAAGAAATTCATTGGCCAACTAATATATATATAAAATTAGTTGGCATGGGTGTGTGCATGCCTGTAGTTCCCAGCTACTCGGGAAGCTGAGGGCAGCAGGATCGCTTGAGGCCAGGAGTTTGAGGTTGCTGTGAGCTAGCTGACGCCACAGCACTCATCTAGCCTGGGCAACAGAGTGAGACTCTGTCTCAAAAAAAAAAAAAAAGGGAAAACCCTCCCCCAAAGGCCAGGGACCCAGCCGCTGCCTGGCTCTTCTCTCACTCTCGGCCCCTCTCCCGCGGTAGGTCTCACCTACCCTGGCCTTCTGGCCCATCCCGTCCGACCGCAGGCTCTTCAATCTTGGTTGGGTGACTCAACCCCTACTCCTCTCCTTTTCCTCCTTCTGCACCTGCTCACAACAAACAAACAAACAACAAAACCTATTTTATCTTCAGGTCTCTCTCCCTAACCTTACATTGCTGCCTCGAAAGCGGGTCTGGTGGGTCCCCCCTGCACCCCGCAGGCTCCCATAGCACCTGGCACGTCTCGTGAACAGGCCAGAGCACGCATTAATTATTTTATAACGAATTGGTCATGTCTTTCTTTCCAACGAGACCAAAGCTCCACAGAAGGCAAGGACTGTATTTGTGTTAAGGCATCGTTCCCCTTTATTTGCTTTAGTGCTGGGGTACACAGGAGGTGCTCAATAGGAACCATTATATGTGTCGTATTGAGCGCAGAGGGTTTCGCTGGAGTACCG